CCACCCCCGTCAGTTAAATTCGTCAAATATGTATATTTCTTTTCTCACATAGTTCTTAATCCAGCATGTCAGCACCACGCAATTCTAGTTCTGGGTTGTATGTATTACTTTTATTTCAAAGCTCAATTAGTAAAAATAGTTAAAAACTTATACATAGAAAGGGGAGGTTCTTTTCCACTTACTAGGAATAGGAGACTCTTGCTGTCTGCTTTAGAACATCTCATGAAGGGATATGACTAGCACTACGTACTCACACTGGAGACTGTGGATGGAAAGAAACAATTTCTCCCCCTACCTGAATTCCTACAACAGCTAAATGCAGTGTTGTATGCGCTTCTGAGAAAAGGTTTGACACTGCTGCTTTGGGATTTCACATGTAGCAGCTTCTGAATTTTGGAAACACAGCTCCTGCCCCCACACTCAATTTTTTTAACCAATATATTTATCGTCTTAATGAAGTGGAATGTTCCATTTTGTGAAAGGGAAGCAGTGAAGCAATGTTCTTTGTAGATTTCATGTGTTTAAAAAAAAAAATCAAGGCTATTCTATATATATATAATATATATTTGTCTCATGATGGACTTTGCTTTCCCCCTGCTTGTCTCCACTTGTGTGAATAGTTACTGGATTAAATAGTGCAGTTAATGTTTACTCTTGATTTTTTTTTTTTTAACAGATCTCTCTAGATACTCTTCCTTTGTTCCATGGTAAAATACATTAAATGTAAAGCTGAATTTTTAGTCTTTCTATTTTAGGCAAAAAGTGCAGAGTTAAAGATGAGGGAAAGGAAACTAATTTTAAAATTAATAGATGAAACAAGTGGAAACTTGGTTTTGTACGTAAAATCTTATGTTTTCGGTAATCTCAGAAAATAAAGTAGAAAAGGCTAACTTTTATCTTATCTCTAAAGAACTAATAATTTGTAAGGGCTGATAATATAATATTTGCAGAAGCTGTCATGTTCGGATTTTCTCCTGGTGAAGCTGCAATAAATAGCAAATATTAAGTTGGACAGCACCCCAAATCTTGGCTATATCTGCAAGCCTGCTTTGTTGAGAAGATGATCTGATCCTATTAAATTATTTTCATCCTTACTAGCTCCTTCGTGGCCAGAGTTTTATATCAACTCTGGTTATGAAGCACTGATCTGCATCAGCATATTATCTTTATATATATAGTATATATATAAATACTCATTGCAAAACAAAACACTTCTGAAATACACTCCAGGGATATTAGCATTCCTCCTCTACCAAATTCTGGGATTCATTAGGAGGGAATGGTCTAAATTTTATTCTTACATTTTAAATGACCAAAAGGCATTTCTTTTTCCAGCACCAGACTTGCAGTTATCTTTTTAACTTGACTGATCTTAGAGATAATTTATCTCTTGTTCTGGTCTGACTTGGGCATCCCATTCTGAATGTGGATGGACTTTAATATTTGTAATATTTTTAATTTTTTATGATAAGAAAATTGTTACATCATTTGGAACCTAGAAATGACATTTCATTTTTTAAAGTAAAAGTTATTTTCTTTAAAAAAAATAGTTATTTTGTAGCAGATTTTAGATTTCACAGTTTTCGGTCTAAATCCAGTTATGTATTGACAAGAGCACAAAGTGCATCAAGTATTCAGATGGAAGTATGCCACCGACATCAACACAGAGTAACAAAAGGTAAATTGGTTCATCATGGATGCTGATGTACAAGAAAAAGAGGTTATTTGAAGAGCGAGGCTGGTTGCTTTGAACAGAGCTCTGGGAGTTAGATCCATTACCATCTGGAATTGCAGAAGAAAATGTTTCCATGAAAGTGGCTGCTACAGAATTTAAGAGGAAAGTCTGCTTATTTTCCTGGAAAATAGATTTAGTCCTACAAGATGGGTAACAGTTAATTTATTAATTATTTAAACCAGGTAGTACACAGAATTATGAGTTTGAGGAGTTTTTGTTTCTTTGTTTCAGAAAATCAGCAAATCTGTACCTTGGCTCTACAGTTAGTTCTTGACAAAAGAGCTTGCTCAACACAAAGATGTCTATATCCCTAGCCTTGCAGTAAGCCATGGGGCTTGCTATAAAGTTTATTCCATAAGAGGCAATAATGCAGCACTGAAATGTTATTTTGAACAAAAGGTATTTTCAGTGTTGTGTTTGTTGTCCTTGGTATCTCAGCTATACTAATTTGTCTGCTCTTTTGCTGCTTTGAAATCCTGTATAGAAGTGTCTGAGGATGGATGGGGCCCTCAGAATTTGGCTGCTCCTACAGAAGTAATGATAACTTACATGGCAGTATCCCTGCTGTCAGTATCGGCAGTTGTGATCGTGCTGTCATGCAGTGCAAATGCATGTTCATGACTTCTGTCCCCTCTCCAAGTACACAATACTGTCTTTTTCAGCACTTTCTGAAACCACAATGTTTCAGTTTTCTGTCAATGGCTTCTTGCAATAGAGGCTCCAGCTGTGTTTTGAGGAGCTGTTGTGTTTTGCTGGGGAGTTGTGGCAATGGAATTGTGGCAAGGAAATGCTGAGTGGCAGAGAAGTGGTTTTAGTGTTTCAGACGGGAACTATGTTAACCAGAAGAAACATGGAAGCAGCCATGTGAAGATATAAATCCACTTCTCTTGGGGAAGGAGAAAGATCTTCTGGTAGTAAGGCTTGTAATACTTTGAATGGTACTATCGAAATAATTCTCTTTGTCACAGTCATAATATTTTTGTACTGCAATCCGGTATATATCCAACTTGTTCAGTTCTTGGACTGACTTTTTAGTGTTTGTGGTAAGTCTGAAATGATCTGAACAGTTGGAAGCATAGGGGAGGAGTGTCAGACTAAACTGTAGTAGAAGGGCAAAATCCAAGGACACCAAGGGAACAAGTAAAATGGACAAGAGTCAGGAGTGTGAAGAAAGAGATAATGGTCTTAATTCTTTTTGATATGTCAGTGGGTGTAAAAGGATAATGGTACAATAAGTGCAGTAAACATACTGTGAATATCCTAAAAAATACAAAAATTGGTATGTCAGTGGGAGAGAACTCAAACCAGAAATCCAGTTAAATGCTGTCCTGTTCTATTTTGGTTTTTTTACACATCTTTAAATTCAGTTCTACCATTACGACCATGTAAATCTGCCAGATAGTAATAGTTACGTGGAGAGCCATTAGGGGGCCATATGTATCCAACTTATTTATAGTCTGCAGGGTTTTTTTTTAAATAAATCAACTTGCAGTACCTTAGCTTTGCATATGTATATAGCCTGTATAAGTATATAATCTTAATTTCTTTCCTTTGTTCACCTTCTAGTGACTACATGTGCATGTTGAAGGTTGCCATAATTGGATGGTGCACCTTTTGGGGAGGCATTGTGGTACATGTCTCCTGGCCTCTGTGTCAAATGATGTGTATTTAAGAATATTTAAATTCTTGACTGTATCGTAATTCATTTCTCTGTAATCCATTCATTTCACAAACCTATATATTAGTCAGTTTATGTTGCTATCATTTTTCTACAGTTTTAACGTTCGGTCAGTGAGTATTCAGGGTGAACATTCTCACGTGTAAAATAAAGGAGATCAGGGCTCAGCTTACTGCTGTCACACAGATGTTGCACTGGGCAGACAAGCCCAAAATACAGTGTTATGGCAAAGATGCTGGAAGCACAGATACGGGCAAGACGAACTAGTAAGGTCTTCATAAGGCACTGCCTTAATCTACTTGCTTTGTTGCTAATGCTTCCACTGGTTGGTTTAGAGGTAACATTTTATATTGTGCTGCATAGACATCTCGTCTGTTTAAACCTGGACAAACCATTTAGTCATTCTGTGCCTCAGTTTTCCCTTTTAAAACTGGGAGTAAGACTTCCTTATCTTAAATTAGTGTTTCTGAAGTGTGAAAATTGCAGGGAGAAGGGCCACTTAAGTATGGAGAGAATAATTACGTTTAAGGTACATATGTGATACAGGTGTTAAATTCACATACAAGAAATCTGGCGGAAGAGTGAGGCTTTAGAAATTGCTGAATCTTTGAAGTACCTATGCTCTCCTTAGTAGGTAAGTTCACGAAAGGAAATATGTTAATTATTCATAATGCTTTGCTGTACAATAAAACTCGATTTATTGAGACTATAATTTGTTCAAGTTGCATGTAGTAGGAAAATATATCAGGAGTAATTAATTGTATTCAGGATGTGATGAGGTAGATATATCCACAGAGGACAATTGAAAACAGTAGCAGTGTGGTATTGATTGCCTTTCAGAGGGGGAAAAAAAATCTTGTCCCATTTCTAAATGTTAACAATTCAGAGAGAAAAATTCCCACTTGGGAAGAATGCTTTCCAGGTTGCTTCATTGCCAGGTGTTTGACATTGAGTGGAGCTTTAGATGAATGAAGCTTATGGCAGCTTTTGGAAATGACCGACTCCGGGGAATCTCAGCTTCCTGCTGTGAAAGTTTCTATTTTCAAAGCACATCAGTTTCAGTGGGAATGTTCCAGTGGTCCCATATGCTACTTCTGACAGAGGGGGAAGTTTTTAACCTGAATATGAGACAGCTACTGAAGAGGTTCCCTTGCTGCTAACAAAATGAATTTCAATATGTTGCCAATGAACAGGCGGCATGTTCCCAACTGCTGATGGAATTTAACTCCATCAATTATTAATGGAAATTTTGCTTTGTTTTCTTTTTTGCCTGTTTCCTTTTAACTCGGCTACCTGCTCCTGATAGGACTTTGTGGGTTCTGAAACTGAAAAAGGAATCACCCAAACAATATGCTCGTTTGCTTTGAAACTCTTGCTATATTTTCCTCCCCTCCCTCGTACGCTCTCTCCTTGACCTAGCAGCAGGAAGCCTTTGTCTGAGGTGTTCATCTGGAACAACTTTTCCACACTTGTTTTCATGTTCTGTTAGATTACAGGGCAGCAGGCCTACCTTTGAAGCTCCCTTCTCTTTTGTTTCTTTGCAGTGCACTCCAGTAATTAACTTTGTCCTTCTTTTATTTGTTCCAGTCAATCGCAGTCCACTCTGCTGAGCATCTTCTCCCAGGAGTACCAGGTTAGAAGTTTTCTCCTTTGTGAGGCTTGACAGGTGCCTAATTGAATGATGAATGTCCCTTTATTTCTTTGTAATTGAACTGCCAGCTTTCTGATTGGTTTGGAGGATGTTCCCTTTTCCACATCAAGCACCGCCTGAGTCTCAGTGGATGGCTGCCAAGCCTACCCATCCATCTGTCTAATAACATCTAGCCTTTGCTTATTTGGTGGACCTGTAATAAATTATGCTAAACCATTATTATTCTGACAATAATAATTTCCCTGTGTTGCGTGGTTCCATGTGCTAAATGTTTGCTGACTTGCACTGTCAGTGCTGCTTTCCATTGCTGACAGAGATGATGATAAATGACCATTGCCGGAGTGGCAGAAGGCAAGAGAGGCAGAAAATGGAGTCATTTATCATGAGATGACAGGTGTCAGTCAAGTGGCAAGTCTCTATGGAATTACTTTTTGTAGTTTTTCAAATAAGTTGTTTTTAAGCAATGTTCTTCCTGGTTAAAAATGCCAATTGAATTGTAAAACCAGAGTGCACCAGACTTAGATGGAATTGAATTGAGGGAAAATTAATACAAAGGTTGAAAGAGAGAACAAGTTTTTCTTTGCCCTCTGCAGCCTTCAGTAAACTTATTTAGATTCAATTATTGTGACCTTACTGGCTTTTACATATATGGTACATTGCAGTACAGTCTGAAGACGTTCAATTCAATAGGTAGATTGAATGTCATTTCTGTACAAAATCTAAAAACATAGTTCAGTTTATATATCAAAGTGTAGCCAAGGAACATGTGTTTGGGCAGTGGTGATTTCTGTGTTTTGATCTGTGACACATTTGTAAGACTCTTTGTTTTTTTGTTTTTCTAGAAACAAATCAAAAGAACACATGCCAAGCATCACACTGCTGAAGCTATTGAAACTTACTACCAAAGGTATGACCTCCCCACCCCGGTTAAGAGTATCATCTTAACTAATAATTGTTATGGCAATTATGACTAAGTTAGTTTATTAACTTATGAAACTAATTTTCTATAAAAATAAATTCAAAATTTGAGACGAGGAATACAGAATGGTTCACCTAAAAATGTTCTTCAGTGAAAACGCAGAAAGTTTTCACTGTTTGGTCACTCTAATTAAGAAAGGGTTTACTTCCTTGGCTCTAACCAGGATAAGCAAATATTTTTTTTGCAGTGTAGCATTTATTATATATTGCCTATAGTTTATAATTACAGGATTTCTGTGTCAAGACTAATATTGAGGATAACTTCCTTACAGCAAGGGAACTTGTTCTGTTACAGTTGCTTGTACTTTTAAAACAACATTTGTGTTACATTACAAGAAGTTACATTTTGAATTCATGTATTGCCAGTTAAATCACTAATTTTTAGATCACTCCTGTTTTATCAACAGAAGTGTCAGAAATAGCTGTTAAGGGAGGATGAAAACCTTTATGTCATTTTACAGTATTTTACAATTGTTTGCATCTTAAGCTAATAAATTGTATTTGCTACACCTTACAGCTTATCTGTTACTTCTATAGGCTTTGCTAAAAGTATTGCAGTGACATAATTGGGGCACACTGATAACTGGTAAAGATACCCAATTAAAATATTACTTTGTAGACTGACATATCTGAGGAGCTTGCACAACACGTGAGTTCATACTTGTGATTATAGGTGTCTAATATTTATGCTTAATATTAATCTGTGTGAATCAGGAAAATAAACAAAAAGCCTTAATTTGTAAACAATTAACTGTGCTTCCGCAGAGTCATGTGTTTAAAACTTAAGCACAGTCTGATTAGATCAGATGCTGGTCTAGAATATCTAGCGTGAACTGTGCTTTTTTGGGGGGGCTGATTTTCCTTTTTAGTAGTTGTATCTTTCTGTAAAAGTTTTTACTGGATCACATTGCACTTTTCCTAGTGTTGATTCTTGTTTAGGAAGAATATTGGCTTAAAATTTTGTTGTGTTAATAGCCACGTATATACAATACTATTTTTAATTACTTTCCACTAGCACAGTTTCATTGTAACTGCTGTGTAAAGAACCCTTTTCTTAGAACGCATGCAAATCATTTAAATCACTTCTATGATGGTTGTGTTACTGGTTCCATCAACTTAAATCTGAAACATGGGACCAAATTTTGCTTTATGCAAAGCAGCAGTTGTATCGGTGTCAGTAAGGTTGTAGGTATGATTAAGTTTGGCTCACATCAGGTAGGAGGATTTGGTCTCCTGTCCCCTCCTGTACTGTCTGAAGTATGATAGCAGTACATAACTAATGCATTATGTATGAAGCTATATGGTGGTGGTAGGGAAAATCATTCTTTATGCTGTTTCTGGGTATTTCATATTGCAAGTGTATTAACATGGCCAAATAAAATGCACATGTTTTAAAATCAGAGATGTTCTGGTTAGTAGTTAGAAAACTCATCTCAATCCTGTTTTAGTAGATTTACTGTGTAGTAAGTTTTTCGTATGTTTCGTAATGTTTCGTAAGCTATAGGGGCAGGCTACTTGAGTCAGAATCCAGTCTGAAATGCTTCAAGCATAAACATGACAAATATCTTCTCCTCTACTCTTTTGTAGCATCCATCTTACTACTGTAAACCCCAGTCTGTGTGGTACGCTCCTTCATATTCCCACCCACATACAAGCAAATAATTGTGCTCGTATTGCTTTCCTAGGTCAGAAACTACCGGTTTTTGAAGGTAGCCATTTCCGGTGGTCCCTGTTGGGAGCAAGTAGAAGTACAGTTGAGTGGCGTAGTTTTTGCTGCTCTGCTGAGACTTACTAGTCTTAAATTTAGGCAAACATGAAGGCAGATTATGAGGAGGATCAGCAAGCTTTTCAGAACAGTACTGCCATCAACATGTGAGACCTGTTAGTCCATAATGGAATTGCCAGTAGCATTAGAAATATCTGACAGAAAATTGCTCCATTGTCAGCTGTAGCTTTGCTGTTTGATCAACTAGATGCATGTTTTAGAACATTAATCTCAAGTAAATCTTCCTGGTTAGGTGTTTTATTTATGATCTCTCTTATTTTCTTGTGTTACAAATTTTCAGTGTTTAACTACGCATGAAGCATCTTGTTTTGTGGGGTTTTTTATGTAGAATTGAAATAGGTTACAGCAAAAAACTTTTAGCATTTCCTCCATTAAGCCTTAGAGTATCTTGCAAACAAAAAGGCCTGTACAGAGGTACAGAGGTTTATGTAAAGGTGTTATACCCATTCCACAGAAAGGCAAAATGATGAAAAATTTTAATGTCTGTAAGTAATGAGCAGAAGAGTGGCTTCTGATGGATGGATAATGATGGAGTTGGAAAGGCTGTGGCCTTCTAATGATGTCAGTAACGATAAATGACCAGGTTCAAGTATTGGTAACTATTGTTCTTTTCCACATGGCTGCAAAGCGCAAAGTGGCTTCCAATAATATAGCTTCTTCCCATCAACTCCTGAGAACAGGTTTTAGGCATTATTGAAATGTAAACATCAAACAGTGAATGTAACAAAGGTAAGGCCATATTGTGTGATGCGATGGTCAGAAACATCACTGCGTATCCATATTGGTCTAATACTCTTAACCAGAAATGTTAAGCCTTTGCCATTCATAGGATAATGACTTTCTGCCACCCTTTATTGGATCCTAAAATATTTCTTCTTTTATTTTGTTTTTAGAATATTAATTCGATTGTTAGACTCTGATTTCACTGAAGTAAGCCTTTAGTATTTAAACTACTACCCAGTTGATAAAATCTGGATTAACTTTGAGAATTTATGTTTTTGTGCATGGTAGTGAATTGAATAAGATATACAGTGCGCCATCATAGTTGAAGGTCATATGGAACCCAAAATCTTTACTGTGAATAATAGAGGTTTATTTGTCTGCGATGCATCTTTAAGTAGTACAGATATAATTTATTTGTATGTCATTAAGCCAAATTTTTTTTAATTTCTTAATTTATTGTTTTTCACCAGTGACTTAATTGAGATTGATACATCTTGCAGATGAATAGGAGACAACCCTGAAGAGTTAGTGATTGTTTAAAATACTTATCTCTTAAAAGATTTCCCATTAAATACTCTGTGCTGGGGTATTTTCCCCCAAATGAAAGAGATTCCCAAGGGATACTGACATGTATAAACTGGCCTTTTCTTGCCACTGCAGAATTACCTGGCTTTGTCTTGTCTAGGTACCTGAATGGGGTGATGAAAAATGCAGCTGCCCCTGTATTACTGGAGCTGGCCAATGAGGTAATCGTCTTTACTTTTTTCTTTAATCTTCCAGTGTAAAACCTAAGGGGCATATCTATAGTGACTTCAGTGAGAAATGTAATTAACCTAAAAAAATGGTTTCAAGGCACATTAGACATTTAAAATGGTTCCCCAGTCTGTTAGTACTTACAATAATTAGACAAAAAGCCCCATTTATTAATAAATCAGTTAATGTAATTAGTGTCTTAACTTCAAGGCGAATGTGTAAGAAACTCTCGATTTGTATTTTGCTGGAAATTTCAGACAGACCATAGGTCCTTAATGCACAAACTTGCTAAAAATTCCCACATTGATTGAATGGAGTTGCATCAGTTTTACTTATATTTGATTCCTTTTTTTTTAGTAACTAAAGCTATCTGAGATTTTTTTTTTTAATAATAGGAAGGGTTAAACCAGTTCATTTTCCTGGCTCTGTTTATTTCTGCTCATATGGATTAGAGAATGGCTAATGAAAACTGCTTAATATAAAGCAATTAAGCAGAATAAATTCCTCAGTATAGCCATTTCCTAGAAAAGCTGGTGTATGAAAAGTTCAGTACAGTGGCCATTAAAGTCTTGACAAATTTATTGATGCTGTTTATTAAGTAGAATATGAACCTGCCTTGGGATGCAAGGTGTTATTTGCATTAAAAACTGCTATCTAAAGCACTGCTTTAAAGAAGGTGTAAAAAGTTTGAAGGAG